CAGCCAGGGCCCGCCTTGGGCGGCGGGCGCGACCACCTCCTCGGGGGCTCCAGGCCCAGAGATCCAACGTATGGAAGACATCAGGACGGAGGGTTTTCGCGATTCTCGACCTCCAGGGGCCCTCGCCGGGCCCTGGGACGGTCAAGAAACGAGTCAGGAGGAAAAACCGTTCCTGGGGAATGGGTCGAGACTTCGGTGACCCCGTTGTGAAAAAATCACGACATCGGATCTCTGGTGAGGCGGGGGTCAATGAAGGCGTTCCTCCCCAAACAAGTGCCTTGCATGCGAGGATCGAAGGAGTTGCCCTCTCTTCCGCGGCGGAAGGCGGCGAAAGGTCGGCGGACGGTCGGCGGCAGGCGGCGGCAGGGAAACGAGGCCGCCGCCGCCGGCGGAAGCTTTGCGGAAGGCGGTGGGAGTATAGAAAATTCGCCCCCAAGAGATGAACATGTGTTTGTGTTCACGGTTGTAGAAATCCGCCAATGCAAGCGGGGGTCGTCCAGAGCGCCAGATCTTGCAGGACTCTGCAGAGCCAGGGGTGCCCTGACTTGGGCTGGCTAGCGTCCAGTATCCTGCAACATGCCTGACTGACCCGGGTTCGGATCGACCCGGGTGAGTGGATCCCCTGCATCCGCTGCCTCCATCGGCCCCCGCGCCGAACAGAAAAAACGAGTACTGAGTTCCGCGCGGATCTCTTGGATCGGCGCTGGGGCCCTCCTGGCGGCGCCTCCGGCGACGCCCCTGGCGCGCTCCGCGCGCCGGGGAGGGGATTCTGGCGCGGTCCCAGAAATCCGCCTGGACCGCCAAGAGCTCATACGTACACCCTGCGAAATGCTTTAGAAATCATGGGTTAAGAAATTCATAGTCTCAGAATTTGAATAAAAACCCAGAATTTCTATCAAAATCTTTGGATTTACACTGAAACGTTAAGAATAATCGAGACTCTGGCCGAAAACTTGTGTTTTCTTAAGCATCGCCTGCAGTGTATGCAGTCTTTTCTTCCTCCACTGCCCCCATCGGCCCCCCCGGGCGGTGGCCGTGCGACCACTCTGGCCTCTGGCCCGGCCGCGGGCTCGGCCAGCTCGTAATTATCAGAGATCCCCATCAGCGCATGCATCCAAGCATCCGACGAGGCGTTTTCTCTCAACATTCGGGGGCGGACAGAACCCCCAACAGTGACACGTCGATTAGTGAATTGTCCGTTTTCGGTTCTCGAGATGGCGCCGCGGACGTTATTTTCCAAGCTTGCGCCCGCCAGGTTTGGGCCTCAGGTCGTTTTCACTAAACCACGTTTTACTAAAGGGGGTTCTGTCCATCCCCGAAACATGGGCCCCACATGCCGAAGTCTGGGAAAACACTGGGATAGAAGCAAGCATGTCGTCTGAGATACAGTCGGCCCTGATCAGCAGGTCGGCCTTACCCAATGGAGGGTGCCCTCGTGCCCTATGTCTCGCGACCCAAGCCCCCAACGTTCCTCCCGCAGTGTGGCCTTCGGAAGGACCTCGTGTCCTCTTGCGTGTCCTGCCCAATGGACTCCGACTGCAGGGGAGTTCCGAGGCTCCGAGCGGACTTCTTGGGTCGGCGCTGGGCACCACTCTCTCCCCACGCCCCTCCCCCGGCGCGCGCTTGCGTGCTTGTGGTTGCGCTGGGGGCTCCCTTAGGGCTTGTCGACTTTTCGCCAATCGACTTGTGAGAATCGAGCCAGATAAACCCAGGTAAATGCAGATAAATCGAGGTAAATCCAGGTAAATCGAGATAAATCTGGGCAAATCCAGGTAAATCCAGAGATCTCCAGGGAAAGTTCGAGCACTTCGCGGCCGCTCCAGCGCGAGTCGAAGGACGGCAGAAGTCGTTAAGCCTTTAACGAGGGGCGCTGCCCACGGATGCGGCCAGGGGGTCTGGCGCCGATCCTATGTGGTTGCGCGAACTCCCTCGCGCCCGTTTTCGCCCGTCTTTCCCTCTTCCTGCCGCTGGTTGATTTGCCCTCCCCGTGGTCCGGCCTGCCTGAGCGCGCGCGGACTGCCTCTGCCGTGCTGCGACGTAACAACTGTTCGTTTATGCCGTTGTTCGGTCTTCCGCAGCAGGCCTATAGCGAGCATGTGAAACTAGAACCTGCTGCGGCTTGTGTGTGATGTTTTCGTGATTTCTTGATTGTTGGTGCGTTGTTGCTTCAAGGCGTCGGCTTATTGTTACGAGAGCCTTGGTTCTCTTGTCCGATCACTTGTTGTTCTAGGGCCACGTCGTTGTAGGCCCACGGCCCACGCGAACACCGGGACGGTGGTTCCCTGCTAGAAGACGGACGGGAAGGGAGCGCCTGGAGACAGACGGGATGGAGGGGTCGACGGGGAGCCGCTGCCATCGGATGCGGAGCCCGCGAGATGAAGGGCGAACTGCTCCCAAGTCGTAAGTCGGGCATGTCCCTCTAGAGGAAGGAAATTCAAAGCCTTCTATTTGCTGACTATTCCTTATTTTCGTTCCAAAGCCCGCCTGTAGAGGGACATGCCCGACCTGACCCAAGTCCCTCGCGTCCAGCACACGACTGACGTTTTCCCCTCTTCTCCGCCGGCGCAACGTTCCTGGATTTTTTTCAATTACGCACCGGGGCCTGCATCCAGCCCCAGGATCGTCAAAGATCGCCTCAAAAGGAAAGCCGGATTCTGGGCCAAAGGGTTGTTTTCTTCCATGTGGGCGGCACGAGAGTCAGGAGGGTAAAAAACACACAGACACAATTAATCGTCGACTCCCAGAAAAAACACATATATATATATATATGTACATATGTGAAAATACGGGAAGTGGGGGGACAACGAAAACCTAGAAAATATGAATACATATTGGGAATCCTGGGATTACGATCGGCCTCAAGATGGAAGCCGGATTCTGGGCCAGAGGGTTGTTTTCTTCCAGGCGGGCGGCACGAGGGTGCGACGGCCATTACGCCTCGCGCTCCGCGCAGCGCGGAGGCGCGAATTCCCGCCTCCCCCCCCGCCCATGGAGTAGATCTTGGCTGTTTTGGGCGCCTGTTTCGAGCAGGTGGAGCTTCTCCCCAGAGGACGTCCTGTCGCAAACCGTCGCACTAAGCATAGGTCTGGAGCCAGGCCCCCCCCCCCTCCCCCCCCCCTTTTGCACAGTGTCGAAACGCCGAATCAAACAAAGAAAAGATGACAAGTCAAGGGAAAGCAGCTGTCGCGATGTTTCTGCTGCGACGCTCGGAGGCTCGGGTCCAGAGTCAGGATCGGCCCCCACGGACCTGTGCAGGCGTGCGCCCCCGCCGAGAGGATGTTTCGAGGCGGAAGCTGGCCGTGACGGCGTTGGCCCTTGAGATGTTTTCAGAGAGAGTGAGAAGTCGTGCGCGCCAGATGTGCGTTGGCGGACAACTGGTGAGATTCCTCCTCCTCCTCCTCCTCCTCCTCCTCCTCCTTCTCCCGCCCCCCTCCTCCTCCTCCTCCTCCTCCTCCTCCTCCTCCTTCTCTTCCTCTTTCTCCTCCTCCTCCCTCTCCTCCTCCTCCTCCTCCTCCTCTTTCTCCTCCTCCTCCAAGTTCCACCGCCAGTAGCGCTACGGTTGAGCAGTGAGACGGTACACACGAACCACAACGACGATGGCGACGACGACGACGACGAGGAAGAATTGCAACGGGGGAGACTGAGGAAAAGGGGGAGATACGAAGCAACGACGAGGATGCAAGGAGGAGGGGAGGAAATCAATCATGAACACAACATCGGCAGGCTCGCAGCTCGCGTTGCTTGTTCAGTGGGCTCTGTCACCACACCATTTGCAACGGCACCCCATATCTAAATCTTGTGAAGTCGGTTATGTCCGGGTCGATGTGAGTGGTTCTGGCACCAACCCACAAGCAGAGGCGTTCCATTTCGAATGACGTCCCAGAGCATTACCACCCCAGATGATCTCCCGGTCCACCTGGATTGCTCTGCCACCACCACAGAAGGGAGGGGAAAACCAGTGCACATCACACAAGACAGTTGCCGGAGTCTGCCGTCGTGGCCGATCGGGACGATCCGGGCACCCTGGGAACGCTTCCGACGAGGCGTGGGTGATTGAGGGCGTCCCGAAGCGGGAAAACTCTCAAGGACCGACGACAACGACCGAATGCCCCTCCAGAGCAGCCCGTCTCCCCAGACCTCCGCTGTCTGTCGTGATCTTTCCACGACGTGGCCCCCCAGAGGTCGGGACCCCTTCCCCATGGACCAGCTGTTCATCCGGAGCCTTTCTGGACAGTTCCGGTTGGGCGCTGCGTAATGGGGGGATCGTAAATGGGGGGGCGGCGAGTGTGGTCCGAAAAGGTACCCAAATGGTACCTAAACGAGCCCCCTGGGGCTCTGGAGGGGCCCGAAAGGGGCACGAAAGGGGACCTTTTCTGACCCCCCCATTTGTGACCCCCCCATGAAGCCACGCCCAACCCGGGCCCCCCAGAGGCCACAAAGTCATATAAGCTCTCCGTCGCCATTTTTGGCAGCTCGATGATGCCGGGCCTTCAGATCTGACGTTGCAAGACAGTGTCACCATCGCGACAAATCACCACCGGGGCGCCGGACCCCTCTGCCTGCATCGTTTTTCGAGCCGGGTCGATCTGTGAGGGCCCCAGGGCCCGAAACTGGGCGAACACACCAGTCGCACAAAACATCGCAACGCCTGGATCTCAGGGGAACTAGAGAGCCCGCCCTCCGCGGCAGCCTCGAGGCACGCCTTGTGTGACCAGCTTCTCACCCTGCGAATTGTTCCATTGGACGGTCCCGCGGCCCGGGGAAGCCTTCCCGGAGGCCGAGGATAGACTTGGCATCGCTCGGACGTGTGCATTTTTCCTTCGGCGAGGACCATCGAGGAGCGTCCTTGATCATCCGGCGAAAAAAAAAACCACGCACGAAACCGAAAAAAAAACACAGGGAATGGACGTCCGAGCGATGGCCAGTGGAAGACGCCTTCCGTCGTGATATGTTCGTCCGTCGTGGTGCCCGGGGCGCCGGGCCGCGGGTCGGCGGGCGCAGGCCCGGCGGCTGCCCTGGCGGTGCCGCTGGCCCGCGGAGGGCGCGCCCGCGGGCGTGGCCGGGGCCTGCGAAGGCGGCGCCCCCCGGCCGGCGGGGCGCTCCCGGCGTCTCCCGGCCCTCGAGGGGGGGGCCACGTGCGAACCCCATTTTTTCCCCATATTTTCAATTCTTTCCTTGGGATTCTGTATTTCGGACCATCTTTCCGCTCGGAGGGCCAAAGCCGTAGGGATTTGGCAACAACGATGGACTCATCTGGGGGGCTCGATGCGTCGGGAGGTCCGAAATGTTGCTCCGCAGCGGCGAGAGGGCCCGACGCACACCAGCCGCTGCATGGTCGGGTGCGGATATTGAATCGGCGCAGGACCCACTAGGCAAGATACCGACAGCAGGAAGATTGGATTCATCAGGCCCCCAGAGACCAGGACACAGATAAACCAGGACATGGAAGACCAAGGAAACGACACCCTGTCCTTCAAAGTCACATTTTTCAGCACCCGTGCATTTTTGTTTGCTGCTTTGTAGGATTCGGGTTTGTGGCTGGGTTTAGAGGGGGTCTTGCAGGCTTTTATGGCCTGTGTCCAGGTTTATTCTGGAAATGCTGCGATGCAGTATTTTGTATGTGCCGCCGTCTGGAAAAATTGGTTTCAAGGGATCTTGGGTGTCCGGGTCTAGCGCGTCTGGGTTCACGGGGCCCGGAATTCACGTAATTCTCGCACGCACGCAATGGGATTCCCTTGGATCCATCGTTGTTCCTGCAAGAGGACATGACTGTCGGCTCGGGCATGCAGTGCAGCACAGGCCCCGCAGCCTCCTCCGATGACGCTGGCGGCCCTGGCGGTCTTCAGCGTCCGCGCCTCGTGTGCCGAGTGGCTCCGGTGGGGAGACGCGTGCAGCGCTGGCACCCGTCATCCAGAGCTCGGCAGGAGCAGCCCCAGACACCCACCGTCTTGACAGAGTCCGGGCGGAGGTTTTTTTTCCTCGACTGCGGCCCTCAGGGTTGGGACGGGGGACCCCGCATGAGCAAGAAGCAATCGGGGGTGGGCAGAACCCCCAACAGTGACACGTCGATTAGTGAATTGCCCGTCTTCGGTTGTCGAGAGGGCGCCGTGGCCGTTTTTTTCCAGGCTTGCGCCCGCCAGGTTTGGGCCTCAGGTCGTTTTCACTGAACCACGTTTTGCTAAAGGGGGGTCTGTCCATCCCCGAAACAAGACGTCGGGTGTCTGCAACGCGCGGACTGTCCACTATCGCAGAGGGCTGTGGCTCGCACCTGCAATGTTGGCTGGTCCCTTTGCCTCCCGTCCCTCGCTGCCTCCCTCTTGACTTCCGCCTCTCCCCCGCGGCCTGCTCCGCAGATGCTCGCCGCGGCGTCAAGTACAACTTGTTTCCCCGGCTGGACATCCTCGCGTACATGAAGAGCGACCCACGACGATTGCAGTTCTGGTGTTGTTGACTAGAGCGCGGTCTTGCTTAAGCCCACGAGCACGAGCCCAATCCATGGAAGTAACCCAGGGGATAGTGCCCTGCTTGGGGAAAAGGGTGCTCTCGACGTCACGGGAGCAACCAGCATTTTCGCGGATCTTAATGCTTAAGGCGCCCTATGCACAAGACTAGTCGCATTTGATTTTGCTTTGATGTGGACGAGCTCATTATGCCAGCATGATCTCGGCTGGCCCGTGTGTGTTCCTCCGCGGGATCTTCCCATGGTTCCGCGAGGCGTCCTTTGATTTCGGTCGCCTGGCAACTTCGATCCCCATGACGTTTGAAGTGCTTCTCTGTGTATGCTCCACTGCGGGACATTTCATCAACAGGTCATCTGTGATTATTTCTACCGCTTTAATTGCCTTGGAATCTCCTCTCGCGTCCCGTAGTTCGTCACAATGCGTGATTTGCGTCGGTCTTGTCCTCCCGACTCCGGTTTGTCGGCGTTGTCTTGCTGGAGGAGGGGCAGGAAGTGCAGGAGGAGGAGGAGGAGGACGAAAGGCATGACGACCTTCCGAGCAATCGGCTTTTGTTTTGGCCGACTCGTCGAGCGACGCTCAGGCACCCTCGCCTCACCTGCCTGTCCAAAGTGCACGCTGCAACTCTGTGGAGTCGTCATGCTGGTCGTTGAGCTGGAGCGTCGACATCGTACCCGCTACCAAGAGGGCCCCCGGCCCTCGGAAGGAGCATACACGTGGCGTACCACCCTGGCAGGGAGCGGACGGAGGTTGCCCGGAAGCTCGTCATGCACATGCAGTCGAAGGCGACGCAGAAGAAATTCCCACAGCTGAAGGCCCCGTAGGTTCTCTGGCCTACTGTCGTGCGTAGATCTCTGCGGCTGCTGGCCATCGCAGCCAGCAGGTTTCGTTGGCAACGCCCTCTTTCACATATAACTGTCTTCGCTTTCCCTTGCCCTGCTGCCGCCGCCGCCGCCGCTGTTGTTTGTTGTGGAAATCCTTATCTGAAAGGATGATTATTGTTGATTCCCTTCCTTCGGTGCCCATAGCATTTTTTCAATTT